TACCTTGGAGGGCACCAGTTTCAGGAATCCCTTTGGGCTGTTTTACTAGAAACTGGTATTTTGTGGGGAGTGAAAAGAGTTAACAGAGTGAGCTGCAGCTCCTGAAGTTCCAGCCAGTTCTGGGGCAGCCTGGGGAAAGGAAATAAACTCCACCACCACTATTGCTTTCCAGAAACTCCTCAGTTCTGGGTCCTGCCTCCAAACCCCTGCAGCTGCCTCTTCCAGATGGTGGCAAGCTCGGATGGACCCGGAGCTGTGCCAGGCTGTCACTCCAAATGCTGTCACCTCTGCCAGGCTCCCTGGGCACAGCTCCTCCCACACGCCAGCCTGAGCCTTAGCTCGGAGTGCTGGGCACGTCTGGCATGGCAGGGAGCATTCAGCCAGCAGAAATTGTCCCATTTTCCACACTTTCCTGAAAGCTGATGGCAAAGAACAAGTGCTGCCCTGGCAGGGGAGTGGGGCTGGGCCTGGCAAAAGCCACTGCCAGAGCAGATCCTCACAGGGAGAATCAGAACATGGAACAAACCTCCAAAGAGGCTGTGGCTGAAGGGAGTTAAAATAGAAATAAAATCCTTCCTCTCATTTTGTCCAACTTAAACCTCCCCTGGCACAATTTGAGGCTGTTTCCTCTTGTCTTACCTAAAAGGAGTTTTAGAATCAATACCAAACTTGATGGTAGCCTCAAGATCTTTAAGACTTTAAGGTGAGTTCATCCCTGGTTCCTGCTGTGATTAAACTGGCCAGAGGAACCTCAGCACCCATTCTTGTCTGGTGAGCCTCTGGGAAAACACTCTGCCTATGTTCTGACCCTGCTCAGCTCTGCAAAATTCAAAACATCATCTACAATATCCCACCTGCACCAGCAGCAACCAGCCCAGAACTCTGCAGCTCAGCTACTGCCTCGGTCTCTGTGACAGGTGCTGTCAGACACATTTACTGACTAAAGCAGCCCCACTGGAACCATTAGGAAGGTTTTATAACTCCATTTGCTGAGTGGGAGGACGTTTTTCTCTCAGTTTCTTCACTGACAGTCAGATAAAAAACATACTAATCAAGAGAGACATGCAACAAATGCTGGGGAGGTGAGCTCGTGTTTCTACAGGGGTCTCCCAGCCCTCCTCTCATCTGAGGATTCTGCTGCTGCCACAGTGAAGAGAACCAAGCCCTGTGGATCCAGTCCAGTTCCCAGCATGGATGGACTGGGAGATGCCTAAAATACTGTCTGCCTGTGTCACACTGGCACACCAAGCTGCTCAGCATCACCTGCACTCCATTCTTCTGCCACAGCTCATCCTTTCTTCCTCCTGGTAGGAGACCCAGCAGGACCTCCAGCAAGGGCACCTGCAGGGAGGGAGCTGGTCCCCATCAGAGAGAAGATTCTCTCTCTATTTCTGTTAGGCCACTGCAGCAAAATCCACTTGCAGCACTTGCTGCATTTGCAGCAAAACCCATCTTTGCTTTCTTGCCACTTTAAAAAATAGCAGAGAATCACAGAATGGGTTGGGTTGGAAGAGACCTTTAAAGATCATCCAGTTCCACCCCCCTGCCATGGGCAGGGACACCTCCCACTAGAGCAGGTTGCTCCAAGCCCCATCCAATCTGCTCTTGATTGATATCAGGGGGGTTGGAAGTTGGGGAAGCAGAAGGTGAACAGAAAGAGGGTCTCTGAAGAGATGTTGGAAAGAGGAGAACAACAGGGGCTGAGCTAAAAGGAAAAGCCAGCCCAGTGCCAGCCCTGCCTGACATCTTTGGCTGGGTGTTCTTCATGCCAACAGCTGTCACTGCTCACAGGTGACTGATGGCAGCTCTGGGGAGGGTGAAAAATGGATGTGGAGATGGCAAGTGAGACAACCCAGCCAGATGCAGAGATGCATGGCCAGGCACAGTGCTGGACCACGTTGAGAAGCCTCTGCCACAGCTCTTCCTTCTGGGAAGCCCTTATTTGGTCCTGCCAAGTCCCTGCTTGATCTGCACAGCACCAAGCCCCCTGTTTGCTGGCAAGGGCTGCACACAGCTCAGTTGTGATGAATGAAATGAGCTGGGAACAGTTGGGTATTTGTAGGCTCAGCTGGGCTGGTGCTCCAGAAAATCTGAAAGCCTTTAGAAGTGCCTTCAGCTCCAGAGCAGCACTGACAACCCCCACCAGCTTGTGGGGACACTGGGGAGGGGTCAGGGCAGGAACTGGGACTATGGAATTATCCTGAGCATCTGCCAGTAAATGAGGTAAAACGTTTAGATATGGAAAACCAAGATTGCACATCCAGGATCTTCTGGGGAAGAGCTCACCCAGGGGGAAAGAGAAGGCAATGAGATCATTCGTTTGTGTAAGGTAATGGAGTTGAATCATTAATGACACCTGATTGCTCTGAGGAAGCAAAATGCCTACCAGAAACTCACATGAACCAGCTCCTGCTTCCTGGAGACTCCAAAAAGGCACCAGCCCAGCTCTGGACCTAGCAAAGCAGAGCTCCTCTGACTGCAAACTGGTTCCTGCACCCCGGCGTCAACGCAGCCCCAGGGACCAAGGTACAAGGCCTCTGAACTTGTCCCTCTGTGAACACTGCTGAGGGTTCCACCAAGATAAGATTGCAGGTTGTACCTGCTCCAGTCGTGTGCTTGAGCTCCACGTTTCCCAGCTGCTGGTCCCACCTACCTGCTGACCCAGGGTGGCAAGGCAGCAAGGCCTCCCTAGGGAATAAGGGCGTTGTCCACTCCAGAGTCAAAAAAAAACCCCAAATGTATCCAACAAGAGAGGCAAATTCTCATTATTTTGCTCAATCCTGAACCAACTAGGCCAACAACACCTATAGTGAATGTGGGATGAGTTACCTCAAAGAAAGGGAAGGGGGACAATGTGGTCCCATCCCATGATCAACGAGGGTGAGGTTACACTGCTGCAAGCAAAGGACAGAGGGAAGGAAGCTGAGAACATCAGAAGTCATACTTACTACAAATGACAGGTCCATGTTCACCATCCTCCTGTCATCCAGGTCGATGGGCTGGAGGCCTGCAACGTGGATCTGGGCGGAGGAGGTTCTGTACACAAAGCCCAGCAGCCAGTCTGCCCTAGGAGCAGAGCAGAACGTGAACAAACCTTGTCAAACCAAGGCAGGGTGTGACTGCTGCATGTGGCAACAGGGCACATGGCAACACTGGGGTGCTGGTGGCCAGACAGGAGCCAGCATGTGCCCAGGTAGCCAAGGAGGCCACCAGTAGCCTGGCCTGGATCAGCACTAGTGTGGCCAGCAGGAGCAGGGCAGGGATCATGCCCCTGGGCTCAGCAC